GATGAATTTTTGAAAATTTGATCCGAATTACCCCACTTGACTGTATATTCATTCCTCTTCAATGTGTTAAAGACAGATTATTTCCTAACCAACGTTATACGTCAATGAAAAAAATTAAGATTACTTAGAATCAAAACCGTATACATCGAAACTCTTAAAAGAATACTACGTAGTTGAACAGCATCTACGAGTGTGGATTTGGGTGGCTTCTTCGTCTCTAGATCCTCCCACATCCATACAACACGAGCAATCTACATAGATTGGCTCAACAAATGTATCGACAAGTAGTTTTGTTTGCGTCAGAAACGTTTAAAAATCGGATAAAAATGAAGCATAAATAACTGATAGATGCTTCAGAAAAAAACAAATTTGCACTGAAAAAAAGCAGATGTTTTTCAAATTTAAGATAAACTTCTCGAATGCATGCACTTTTCAGACTCGCATGAATTTTTTTCTGGAAGAATGCAAACTATTATTTTGATATAAAGAGAACTGGTGAATTGTTTATGCTGGAAAAAGAAGCACACATTAATCTATTTTGATAGATAAATACAGTCATGTTAAGAGAGGCAAGATCGGCATACTGTGATCATCCTAGTATTAAATTTCTTAATCAAAATAATTATATCTTCTCATAGATCGGTTTATTTTTTGATATTGAGAACGTTTCTCCTGTTAGGATTTTACAATTTCAGTAGAACTTTACTCATATTATTTGAAATACTATTGTGTTGAATCAAGATTATCATTCAACGTATTCATTTCATCATGTTTGATTAAATATTTTTAGATAAATTAATAGTCTCTACATTGATCTATTTACAATAAATCGAAACCAATCTTTTTTGTTTTATTTAAATATCATGCAAATATCTTTGTTTTATCTTCATCTTCGCCTCCGACAAAAACAAAGTTGTTTACATAAACTAGATTGATACCAATATTTCTTTTGGATCGTACTTCACAAAATAATAATAATCATATTTTACTGTTGCGTACACGAACAAGGGCTAAATTCAAATATTTGTAGTCTTCAAAACATGATTAAAATTTCAAATTATTTTTTGTAAGACATGCCATATTTTTGAGTAGACTATAATAGGTATTCTACATCTCAGAACTTTTCCTCGTCTTGTTTATTTTTCATTCTGCTTTCAATCAGGTACTTCATGAGTCTTTATTTTTGAGGAATGCTCAAGTTTTCTTTAAAATCAAATCATTTTACTACTTCAGAATTATTATGAAAAGTCAAAATTCAATTCCTAGTCAATACTACTCCATCTACAAAGCACTATTTGCAAACCCTTGAATAGGTAAGCATGGTGCTCAAATATGACTTACATTGAAAACTGCTGACCATTTTTTTAGGCAGATTTCTGTAGAAGGTAGATTAGATTCTAATCATAAATTTTAAAAATTATTTGAAATATTGTATAAAAGTTGCATTTTGCTCTTCAAAACAAAACCTAATAAAATCTTTGTCTTTCAGACTTGAGCACAAGAAACTCAATCAAAATGAAAATTTATTTTAGAAATTTTTTGCAAGTTTCACATAAAAAAAATAATAGTATCAGTTTATTGTATTTCACGATTGCCTGTTAACAAATCATCTATTTTGTGATCTTTTAATTGTGGTCTAGCTTCATACATTGTAATGACTACTTTAGATTTTACTTCCTAAAAAATAAATAAATCATACAGAATCATATTGACATAAAACATTCACTTACACCAAGATATTCACCACGAAGGCCAATATAATAAATACGAGTTGTCTCATCACCGAAATTCGAAGGAAAATATAAAGATAGATGTGTTACACGTGAAAAATGTGATGGATTAAAAAAGAAGATATTTGATCAAAAATTTTTTTGAAAGAATAAAAATATTTGCTTGACTTGATAAGCTAATGTACCCGATGGATCATATGTAAGTGAAATTTCTTGATGAGCTTTTCCACGTGCATTATCAAAACGTAATTCAGTTAAATTACTCCATCTATTCATATATATATGTCGTGCCGAAGTTACACTTCTTGCCGAAGTTATAACTTCGACAAAATTTTTGCCGAAGTTACAACTTCGACGGACGATGTTGTCGAAGTTATAACTTCGACGATTATTCTTGCCGAAGTTATAACTTCGTCAATGTATTTTGTCGAAGTTTAACTTCGGCAAGAATAATCGTCGAAGTTATAACTTCGACAACATCGTCCGTCGAAGTTGTAACTTCGGCAAAAATTTTGTCGAAGTTATAACTTCGGCAAGAAGTGTAACTTCGGCACGACATATATATCTAAATCATATATCCTACTTTATTGAAATAATTTATCCACATACAACTTATCTGTATTCGAATGTGATGGACCATTTTCACCAATAACACATAGACCAGTTATTTTTATAGCACCATTAAATGGTATACTGAAAAGTAATTCTTGTTCATCATCACTTTCAACTACTTTTCAAAAAAAAACAAAAAAGTATCAATAGTATTTTTTTATTTGAATAAATCAAATACAAAATATACTTTTGATCGATCAAGTCGTTCTTTCCATGCTCGAAATACATCTTTACCTGACCCATCATGTTTTTCATTATAACATTGTAAATTATATTTATCAATTTTTGTATATAAATTTCATTGACCAACACTTGTTTCATCAACATGTTGACATGTACGTGAACATGAATGTTGCATAATTTATCTAAATTGAATAAAGAAAAATAATTTTTTATCTTTGTGTTTTTTTGTTGTTGTTATTGTATTTTCTATGGAACACTTTAGTTTATATCATCAAAGAACAGAAATTACATAATGCACAGATGAAAAAAAAACAAATAACATTATTCCATGTACGTCCTCTTTATGTCTTTTTTGATGAAGTAACATACTACTTTCATCTCGTCGTCGTTTTGTCATTAGATTTCTTGGATCATGAACAGTTAATAATTCAGCATTAGTATAAAATATCATGAACATTATCTAATAGTTCTTCAGATATAAAAGTATGTTTTAAAAATTGGAGCTTGAACTTGAGTAGCTATTTGTTCTGATTGTGTTTCATTTAAAGGTTCATTAGTTGATTCATCTTTAGCAGTATGAAGTTTGACACGAAATTTTTCTAATAAATCAAATGTCTAAAAAAAATTAAATTCGAATGTTTTCTTTTTTTATTCAAAAACATCACTAATGAACAAACTTGAGACTCTCTTGAATTCGAATGACTACTATGATTTTTTTTTTATTGTTTCGTCTTGTACCTGCCATCAATTCATCCATTAATGCAGTAGTACTTGATGTAATTGGTTGAATAGATGAAGATGCAGCTAAATTTGAAAATATACTCATTAAATATGATTTTCAGTCAGGTATTTTCTTAGGACGTATTAAATATGATTAGACATATTATTTGTAAAAACCATCATATGATTCCTAGAAATCTATTTTATAATTTCTAATTTCATGAACAATACTTACGTTCTGTTTCTGCTTGGACGACATGTTCTGATGATTTAGTTGTGGGTGCTACTGATGATTTTTTTGATTGTTTTAATTCTTTTTTTAATCGTTCAATTTCAAGTTTAACATTCTCATTTCTATGAAAGAATGCCAAATTAATCAAAACATTTTTGTTTTGTTTTTATATTTACGAGTTTGTTGATGATGAAATATCTTTTTTATCATCATCAACATCAAGTTGAAGTGCTTTTTTCTTTTCTTGTTAAGCTAGTTTTTTTTTACATGAAATTTTTGTGGTACTCGATCAATTTCTTCTTATATTAGTTTCATCTAATGGAACTGTATTTTTACTTAATGTTGAATCATTAATTAAATCATGTACACTTTTCCAGTACCTTTTTGTTTGAATGTCTATAAATATGAAATTGAGAAACGAGAAAGAGAAATAAAATATAACTTTATACCATTGAAATTTTTGTTAGTTCTTCTTCCTCTTCTTCAGCTTCATTTCCCAATGAAAGAAGACCATAATTTCTAATTATAAGAAGACAAAAAAAAAACAACAAACAATTTGAAGTTTGTCTTTTTAAGTTATAGAAAGCTTCTACTTGATTGCTTTAGCATGTACAATATCTTTCGATTTTTTATTTGTTTCATCATCATCAATAATTTGTGGTTTAGTTCGAGGTCGAGCTACCATATTATCAAATGGATTTGATATAATCTGTAAACATATAAAATGTAATTTTCTGTTTTTTTATTAAATTTCTCTTGCATTTCAAACCTCTGCTTTAATTATTTTATGTTTATGTACTGGTGTTTCAGCAATAATTTTCTCCTTCACCTAATTTCAACATATTAAATAATGTATTACCAACAACTTTGCCAAATAATGTATTCTTTTTATCAAGTTCCGGAGTACTACCCAAGGTGAAAAAAAATTGACTAACATTGGTATGTGGTCCTTGATTAACCATACCAACAAGATCACGACGATTAAAACGTAAAAATGTATGAAATTCATCGTAAAATTTTTGCTTTTTTTTTGAAAAAAAATAAAATTTATTTTAATTACGATTTACTACAAAGAATTCACTAGTTGCTGATTCACCTCCTTCACTTGTTCCAGTTGGATCACCACCTTGTGCAATAAAATTGGGTACAACTCGATGAAAAACTGTAGCATCATAATAACCATCCATACATAATTGAACAAAATTTCGACATGCTAATGGACACTCTTTAGAGAAAAGTTCCTAAAAAAAAAAAAAGTTAAAATAAGATTACAATTTCACATTTATTTATTACATAAGGTAGCTCTACGAAAGTTCTTTTTTGTCGTCCGACTTTTCTAAACGTTGTGTAGCGATGTGAATTTAAAACTTTCTACAATGTTCAAGCCTTATATTTCTTTCAGATTAGTTAAACGAAAACGGTTTCGAAATAAGACTTTATAAAAACATAAAATAGGTTCAGTTTTTTAAGTAACATTAGAAAACAGATAAAACAATACAAGACTATAGATAATCTAGGTTCCGAAATGATTCAGTGCACAAAATAATATATGAATCGAGTATATTTCATAGATCTAAACCTATATGACTTCTTTCTATTGCTAAAATAGAAATATTAACCACACAAAATAATACTCAAAAATGTATTGTTAATAAGGAGTAGTACTTTAAAAAAGAATACTAGAATTTCGTACAATTTCAATATCACCAACAGTTGTATCTAGAACAACTTTTCCACGAGTAGCCGATTCTTGAATGTAAATATTACTTATCTAAAACACAAGAAAATAATCAAATGCAAATATTGACTAAATGTGTAGATAAGTATAATGAGATTGTTTTAAATTCAACTGCTATAGATGTTCTAAATTAATACTAGATATGAGATTCTATTGAAATCCATTCGGATTATTCGATTACCAACGCCATAAATCTTTGCCTATAAAAGAAAAATATATTTTTAAATCTATGATTAAAAACAAAGTCTTACACATTTCATCTAGATTTCGTTTAGGCTGTCCATCCAAGTTCTTGACATGCTAATGTTGCATCAGCATAAACAGTTGCAAGATCACCTGAACGTCGAGCACATTCTCTATAAGATATTGTTTTGCCTGATGCTTTTTCTAATGCTTTAATTATTTCTAATACTCAATAACCTTTACCAGTACCAAGATTATAAATCTAAGTAAAAACAAAAATAGAAAAAAACATATTGAAAACAATATCAATGCTAACTTTTAAACCACAATTTTTTTCAAATTGTTTCATTGCTACAATATGACCAATAGCCACATCAACAACATGTATATAATCTCGAACACCTATATAAATTTAACAAATTTGTTTTTTACTGAAAAGAAAAAAAATTGTTTTCATTTTCTTGCATTTACCTGTACTATTTGGAGTATCATAATCCGTACCAAAAATATTCACATATGGTAAACGACCAACAGCTATTTGTGCAGTAAATGGCATAAGATTATTTGGTTTACCTATAGGATTTTCTCCAACTAAACCTGTTTCATGAGCACCAGCGGGATTAAAATAACATAAAAGAACGAAAAACAATATAAAAAAAAACAACAAGATCATTTCAAATTTAAAATACGAACCGGATGAGCAACCATTGTATCTTTAAGAATATGTTCACATATATACTTACTTTTACCATATGGATTAATAATAGCATCGCCAATACATGGATGTTTTTTCAACAATTGGTAAATATTTTGGTGTACTATAAACAGTTGCTGATGGTGAAAATAGAAAATTTTTAACATTAAATTCTTCCATACACTACATATTATTCAATATTTAAATATGAATATTTTATTTTTGTTATGATTAGATAAAAATTATCGTAAGTAAATTAAGTAAACAACCAATATTATTTTTATAGTATAAAATTGGTTTTTGTACTGATTCACCAATTGCTTTAAGTTCAGCACAATTAATTATTGCATAAATTGAATGTTTTTCGAAAAACATTTCGTAAACTTTTCAAGATCAAGACAATCAATTTTATAATTGATTATTTGACATCCAGTAATCTGTTCAACTCTTTTCAAACATTCTAAAAAGATATGTCTCAATACAATCGAATTTTCTACTAAATATTTTTCTTTTGATCTTACCTGCTGATGAATTACAGTCATTATCTACTACAATTGGTGTATAACCAGCTGTAACCAATTCAATAACACAATGACTACCAATAAAACCAACACCACCTGGTACAAGCACGTATTGTTTCTTGTGTTCACCTTCAAAGAAGTCAAAAGTCTTTACGGTTCTATAACTTATCTTTTCATATAGACGGATAGTAAAATCAAAGCTCTACATTTCTACACTATTTAATTATTATTCATCTAATATTATAAGAATAAAACTTCTATTAGACTTGTTTAGCTATGATATGTAACAATAACATTAGTCAATATTGACTTCAATATAGATGTGGGTGTGGTTGAGTGTAAGTATGGGCGTGGCTATGCGTTACGCCCACATCCACACCCTAAATCGAAATTTCAGTTCTCGATTAGAGGAGAGCCTGCTGCTGGTGAAGGGGTCAGTTCACTACTTTTAACATTCAGAGGATGAAAAATTACACTATTCAATCTTTAACTGTACAGATCCGAAACAAAAATGATGTCTTTAGTACATTTGATACAATTTAAACTTCATATTCGAGTTCTATTCTTTTTTTGTTTTTCATTACTAGATAGAAAACTTTCCAATAATTTACTATTTATCAATTCATTTACCAGTTGCTGCTATCATTATTTCACTTGTTATTTTACCTGAATAATCTAAAACTAATTATACAGATAACTACTTGATTATTGCAAATAATTCTTTATTTTTCATGTGCGAAGTATGGTGAATAGTGATTGAATTGTTTTATTATTTTATTAAAGCTTAAGTAATACAAGAAAAAAAAAGGAATGCGGTGAACTCCGTGTATAAGCATAATTTTAGCATTCACGTTACAAATTAACCTAAATAAATACGATAAACAACAAGAAAATGAATATTACTGGGTCTTTCTTATTTCTCACCCAATAAATCAAACAAAAACAAAAAATATTACTACGTGTAGCAGCCGTTCTCACCTATTCAAAAAAAAAACTGAAACCATGGATCTTCTCTTTTATAAAGAACCATAAAAACTTAAGGAATTTGGAATGTCTATAAAAAAGAAAGAGAAAAAAGCCTCAAATGAAAGCGCAGAGAAAAAAAAGTGTTAAAATATTAATAGTCAAAAAGAAAAAAAAATTACACTACGAAAACAAGAACAGAAAACAAAAACATTTTCATTAAACATTTGCAGTAGGCGTTCCAGAATCACGTCGAGGTTGATTAAGAACATTAAAATTAACATTAAATACAATCAAACAACCTGTAGAAAAACTTGCCATGATATATCTAAATCAAACAAAAATAAATAAATAAATAAATATATATATATTTAGTTCTTAGAAGTATAGAA